CCCGTGAGAGCTCTGTACAGATTCCGATGCCAACAGCGATGGCTACCATCCCTTATTACCTGCTGTTTGCGCAGGCTTGTCAGCAGTGCTTGGTATGTACAGGACATCTCCTTTCATGACTTGAGCGGCCCGCCTCAGCTGGCATGTCGCTTCTCAAACATTTTCTTTCACTTCAGGTATGAAGCTTGAGTCGTTGGAAGAAGACTGGCAACACCAATGCGGGGACGGTGGGCTTGATTAGTGCCAGGGACGGACAGCGATGCTTGCGGAAGGTGAGTGTGTCGAGCTTAAACCTTCCAAGGTCAGGCCAAGCAAGCAAGCGCTTAGAGATCACAGAATTGACTCCGCATCCTGGGCAATTTGGTGGTGAAGGGGTAAAACGATGCGTGAAGTCAAATGTTGAAATGTTGAAGAATAGATGGTTCATGAGTGAGTTGCTGTTGTTGTTGGTTGTACTGCCCCCCCTAAGCTTCCGCATGCTAGCTGCTAGCTAGCATAAGAAGGCTGGACAGGTGGAAGAAGGGCCTCCAAAACAAAGCAGCTGTAAGGTGGCGTCGGCGCGAAGTGGCCGCTCCTTCCATGTGCCCGGCACCTGAGACCCCAATTCCAATCCAAGGGTTGAAGGGTTTCCGCCGAAGTCGCACAGCGGTTTCAAGCCCGATCCGCAAGTCAGGAAGCAAGGCTTGGCCTTCGGTTTGAAGGTTTTGCATATCCGAGCCTTCGGCTTTTGGACTCCATATTCCTCAATCTGAGCACCCGCAGAGCCCTCTGATTCCAGATGTGCATAGACTGTGGGGGGGGGGGGGGGGCATTGCAGTACTTGCAGTCCCCAAACATGGTCTGTCCCAGGACCACAGTGGTCGGAGGCGGCGGAGCGAATGCGAAGCGGCTCGGACGTCTCCTCTGTCGGATTTTCGGGGTCTCGAGCTAACGGTGTGATTGCAGCTCGGCTTTGGGTGATCGAGTGTCGCGCCTGTTCGTATCAAAGAGCATCAGACATTCTGGCGTCTTGTCTTGTGTTGTTTAAGTTGTTGTTAGCCACGGAGGCGACGATGATGCGATGATACCGTTGATAGTGAGGGGGTGGTCATGAGGGTTATATATGAGGATGGGGCGGATAACGACGGCGAGGTTGTTGTTGTCGATGCAGCTGAGGATGCGGATAGGGCATCAGGATGGGGTTCTGAAGGCCATCGTTTGCTGGTGGTCTATGAGGACATGGCATGATATGGTCTAATGGCTTATGAACACGCAGAAGATGAAACTGCAAAATCACTGATGTCATGGCGTGGGTGGCACAGGGATCTAGTTGAATCGCGCTGCTGCTTATGTTCATGATTCTGCTGCTGCTGCTGCTGCTCACTTACTTGCAGCTGCTGCATGATCTCGCTTGTGATCATGTTCTGGCCATCTGACAAAAAGTGCCGAAGAAAGGCAGCAGCGGTGGCGGCTGCAACAGGGCTCGGAGGTCGTTGTGGCATGGGCCCCACTCGAAGAGGTTTTGCAGTGGCATCAGGGTCTATGGTGTCTAGTCTCGTTTGGGGAATCGTATTCAGGTTTTGAAGTTTTGAAGCTTACAGCTTATGTACTTTGGCTCCGTAGTCAGGGTTGGAGTTGCTTTGTGCTTAGATGTTAAGGTTCAAGACGAAGCGACTGCGGCGTACGGTATCACCTCGGCAGCTGCCAGCTCCTGTTCTCTTCGCAACTCGCAATCCTCAACTTCTGGCAGAGACTGCCCCAAAGCTATCACCAGAGAACATATCCCGACCTCTCTGTAGGCGCTTAGGCTTATCCCTGAACCCTAAACCCCTGAACCCCCACATGCACCAGAAAAGCTTCACCTCTCCCTTCAGCATGGAAAGACGGCAAGGCCACTCCTGGCCGACTCAAGTTTTTCATGGAGGAGGCGGTCGGAGTTGTCGGAGTACACTCTGATACTATATGATACACTCCTAGAATCCTAGAGGAGGAGAGAGAAAGGGGCTCCTTCAGAGGATCCCGGGCCCTTTTGCGGATCAAGGGGGCCGCCTCCTCCAGGCTCCTTGGCCTTGAGGAGTCGGCCTCCCACCAACCCCCCCCCACCGCAAGGAGAGAAAGACCGTAAAGCCCTACACCTTAAAGCCCTATACAGCTTCAGTCGCAAGCTTGCGGACGTAGCAGACACTGCCAGCCGTTGGACGGCCAAGACCATCAGATGAGTTTGGGGCTGTGCAACTTGGGTGGAGGAGCAACAGATTTGCTACCAATTCACAGGGCCCATACATCAGGACGCACGCTCCGAGCCTAGGACGTATTCGCAGATTCAGCTCTGAATTCCAAGCCCCAAAACAAGAACCCCCAGACCCAAGCCCCAAACCCAAAACCCCCAAAACCGTAAACCGCAGGATTACGTCGTGCAGAAAGATACCTGGCAACATGTCAAAGCCCTGGTCATCGACGAGGCACGGGTTCATACATACATATATATACATGCATACTTACAGTTTCGTAAACATATTGTGGTTATTAGACACATAAATACACATGGAGAAATATGTGCATACGTTGTCCTGGCAACTTGGAAATTGGGAATGTTCCAGGAAAGGCTCCGGGTTGCAAATTAGCTTCTTCTTGGATTCTTGGGCATGTGGAGGGTTTGGGACATCGTTCCAGACAGCAGCACTCTGCGGGTGAACTTCTCTATTATTCGTCTTTGCTTTCAGGCTGTATGTCGAGGTTGCGGTTCACGACTTCAAACCTTCCCGTTGATGCATGGTTTATGTCGTCCAGACGACGAAAATGACGAGGATGCAGATGAAGCACACATGATCTTGAAGATGTCGATGACGCCAGTGAGAATCATCATCATCACCACCATCATCATCATCACCATCATCACCCTCATCACCATCATCATCACCATCAGAATGACGACGATGATATTTTGTTCCAGGATGATGGTGAATATGATGATGGTGGTGATTATGATGATGACGATGATGATGATGATCATGATGATGATGATGACGATGATGACGATGCTACGATGATGCCATGATGACGATGCTGACGACGAGGCTCTGACTTGGACCCCATCTTACAGGCTGACCAACCTGACAAGAGACTGTGCTGCAGCCGCAAGTGCGGACATGAAGCCGCACCCCAAACCCGAAGTCCAAAGCCTCCAATTCCCCTAAGCTGCAGGTGGACACGCTTGTTGGGGAGGACTCACCGAACCCGATGTTCGACCTGAAAGCGGAGTTGGAGCCTAAAGACAGGGAGTGGCAGCGGGTTTCGGAAAGCCCAGAGCAGAATACTTGCGAACCCCCCCCCCCCCCCCCCCTGTGTTGGCCACATGATTTCGGGCCGTGTTTCGGGGTTTGTAGAGGGCTGGCTGACGAGGTTGCCGGCGGACATTCAGTGGGTCTTCGTGACTGCCACCGTGTCGGAGGCCAGTTGCTTAATTAGTGGATTTTTTTGGTTTCTTGCTTGCAAAGGTGTTTGTACTGTGCTTCTCTGGACGGACTGACCGGCACAAAATTGAAAGGGCTTTTGCGCGTCAATGTTGCAACAGATGCCAGAAGCCATGTCAGGGCGAAGGGTTGCAGCATCGGATTGCGCACATCTGTGTGATGCCTCGCTCCTTTTCGAAGGAGATGTTGCTTTATAGATGCTGACAGTGATGGTCACAGTGAAGACTGAAGAATATCCTGACGAAGGTAGTGCTGTGATACCACGCATGGCAGATGTCGGCAGAGTGCTGACATGAGGCCATGATGTCATCATGTCGCAGCGTGGAGAACATGTTGATGCTATTGCTGGTGGTGCCGTGGTCAGTGATCGGATGATACGATAATATAATGTCATGGTGAAATCTCGTTGCTAATGCTGTTAGTACCATGATAAATGATGCTACTACGGCGAGGTTTCTTTCATTCATGAAGATAAGCAATGTCACGAAGAAGTGCCATGTGCAGCAACAGTCGTGATAACGAAAAGATACCCGTGCTAAGACGCAAGGCGGCGAAGAGGGAGATCCGGATGCTGAAGGACTGGCTCATTTTTATTGTTGCCCGACTTTGCAGCCAGGGCCCAAAACCCAAAGCCCCATGAATCCAAGAGTTCCCGAGGCCCTGATTCCCCCTAAACCCTAAACCCCTGGAGTCATCGGGCCCAATGAGGCAACTTGTGGGCTACAAGGGGGGCCGACTCCAAGACTCAAGGCATCCCAGGCACTTCGACCCGGACCCCACAGCTGCGCTGTACATTATCTACAGATTGATATATTGTGGCTGGTTTTCTTCGCAGCCGTTCTATATAAACCAGAAACCCCGAAACTCAACAAAAATCCCAAGACCCAGCATACTCTAAGCCGGCACCCTTGACACAGAACTCAAGAGTCAAGCCTTGACACGAGGGCCAGCTGCAGGGGGAAGCTAACGACCTCGGCGTGAGGACGGTGATGGTAGACGAGTCGATGAGTTTCGAGTCTGAGGTCAGAGTTAGGGTCTCAGGTTGGGGGTCCAAGGCGTATGGCAGTCGGGTCTGCTCTCTTCTTCTGCCGAACTCCTGCATTTCAGGGCTAGGTCTCCGGGGCCAGGTTTCCGGTGTTCCGCCCATGGCCTGACCCATTAGACTCGCGCCCCAGACCTCAACACTCGAAGCCCTCAAGTCAACCGACAAACTCCGCTCCTGAGCTTATAAGGGTGCCGTACTACATTGGGGACCCAAACAGGGACCCTGCTTTAGACAACTACCCCAATCTTCAGCCAAGCCCCGTCAACCTAACCGTAGGCCCTATCCCCAAAAAAACCCGAATCAGAGTGGACCAGAGCGTTGAACTTGATATTGCACACGTGTTGTCCATCTTACAACCTTTACTCTATGTTTTGCAGCTGGTGCTTGTGGTATATTTGCATTATATGTCACATGCTGTATGTATGTTATGTTTTAAGTCATAGTTAGACTCCCTAAACCCTAAACCCTTGTT